TTTCACCCAGACTGAGAGGAGCAGCTCGCCATGGGAAGAAGTAAGCTCTTCTTACTTCATCGCATACAATTGTATGTGCGTGTATTCGAATCATAATATGCATATATAGATGTGTAAAGTTTCGAATATTCAAAAAAGTCAGCGTAGCTGGGATTCATGATTATCTGATAAAATATTTTTGAAGATTTTCACTATCTATGCAATGTCGCTTTGATATTTTACGATAATTGAAGAAAAAGAAGGTTTATTTCTGTTTTGTCGATAGGAATTTGACTTGAGACTCCTTGTTTGTACATGTTGGAAACCAAAACTAACTTGATTTTGTTATTTATGTCTCAACATATCTGGGAGTCTAGGTTATTTATATTTTATAATATATTTATGGATCTGATCACTAAAGATTGAACAAAAAATGTTTTTACTGTTTTCTCCACGAGGAATTTGATTTATGAACTCCCGTTATTTTAGTGTTATATTTTATTTATGGATCTGGTTACAAAGTTTTGAAAGATTTCCCTATTTTTGTTATGTTGCAGCAATGTGCTGCCATAATCTTGAAAATTGCAAAGATTGAACAAAAGAAGGTTAATTGTCTGGGACCTCTAGTGTGTAGTTACGAAGTTGCTAGATAAATAAATCTATGAGCGAGTATTTTGGGTTACAAAAGTTGGGCTCTTTTCTGTTGTCTCACGTTGTCCTATAGTGCTTCTTGAATTTTAGCTTGCTGAACATCCATTAGGCCCGTCACAAGTAAATATTAGGGATATTCTTTTTATAAAGAAGTTTTTAGATTTTGATTTCTAAGGCTTCTTTCATATCATAACTGTTTATCATTGGGAATGTTGTTTTTGTTTTTTTAATTTTTTGACATACTCTTACTGTTCATGCGAAATATATCAATTGATCAGTTCTCCTAAAAGGCATCATGTATTGAAAATGGTTCAGTTGTATGATGATGATGTTTATTTTTCACTTTCAGGACCAGCAAGATGTTATCGTCAGATCAAGAACAAGCCCTATCCAAAGTCAAGGTTTTGCCGTGGTGTGCCTGATCCAAAGATCAGGATCTATGATGTTGGAATGAAGAAAAAGGGCGTCGATGAGTTCCCCTTCTGTGTTCATTTGGTAAGTTGGGAGAAGGAGAATGTGTCCAGTGAGGCGCTGGAAGCTGCACGAATTGCCTGCAACAAGTACATGACCAAATTTGCAGGAAAGGATGCTTTCCACTTGAGAGTCAGGGTTCACCCATTCCATGTCTTGCGTATCAACAAAATGTTGTCATGTGCTGGGGCTGATAGGCTCCAAACTGGTATGAGGGGGGCTTTCGGTAAGCCCCAGGGAGTTTGTGCACGTGTGGCCATTGGACAGGTTCTTCTTTCTGTCCGCTGCAAGGATTCAAACAGTATTCACGCCCAGGAGGCCTTACGCCGTGCAAAATTCAAATTTCCAGGTCGTCAAAAGATCATTGTGAGCAGGAAATGGTATGAGATCATTTCTAAATTCTTCCCGCAAGTATATATTTAATTTTTTCCTTGTTTTATATTGTTGGGTTTTGGATTCACACATCCTATTGCTGCTGCACTAATTTTCATATCGTTGTTCAGGCATGAGTTTTATAGCTAGACTTTCATGTACATATGGAATCTCTCTCAACTCTTTCCCCCTCCCGAATTTCCCCCTTGCATATCAAAACATCCAGTGAATCTCTTCCTCTTTATTGATCATTTAGTAAACATAGATGGTAATTTTGTTGTCAATTGATGTAAATACATCTTATAATATTCAGTATGTTGGTAGGATGTAGTTGTGTTCTCTTTTAAATCATTTGATTTGTACAGTTTTTTATGTTTGATAAATAGAAAATTAATGCTCTGTGACGCTCTATTACAATTGTTTTATCTTTGCTTATTAACTTACCTGATAAAAGTTCTTATTTATTGTTGCTTATATGAATTATCTTTATTTTCAGGGGATTCACGAAGTACAGTCGCCCAGATTATATTAGATGGAAATCTGAGAACAGGATTGTTTCTGATGGCGTGAATGCGAAGGTTTGACTTTTCAAGAAAACACTGAATATTACTTATTCCACTGGCTATTATAATTTATTTTCTTTAAGTAGCCTTAGCTAGAAAGCTATATTGGATTCTCGACGTTGTTATTTTCTTCTCATTAGAAGATTCCTATCCTCCAACAACATGTAGGTATTTCTGTCTAGGTTAGAAAACCTCAAAATGTTAATTTTAGGCAGGCTGGTATGGTGTCTTATACAGTGATCTGATTTTATACCATTTCGCATAAATGTTTCTTGTGAAGTTATTAATGATCCATTTATATCGTGCAGCTTCTTGGATGTCATGGACCTTTGGCGAATAGGCAACCTGGAAGAGCATTTTTGTCAGCTGCTGTTGAAGGATGAATTTGATATCTGGATTGGGAATATTGACGCTTTTTGCATTTCATTACCTTGAACTAAGAATTTTCTTTTCGTTGGTTCTCTGGATCAATCTCTTTGTTAAGACAAATTTTCTTTTAAGTTCATCAATTGGATTTCTTCGATATAATTTTGCACTTAATTCACTGTTTGTTTCTGGAGTTTATAATTTCTATTAGTTGAGCACGATACTATGTTTTTGCATTTTCAACTGAAAGGGTGTTTATATGATGAAGTCAGGCTTTTGGCTATCAACGTCCTTAAACAAAAATGGGAGTTGAGGGCAGTTCGAATGAGAAGATACATTGGTCGCATTTCTATGACGTGCAAATTTCAAGCAAAATCAATTTTTTTACTGTTGAAAGATTTTCATAATATGCAGGGGATCAAAGCAGAGTGCTTCCATATGCAAGTGTGTATATTTTGGGGATAGAATTTTGCTACATGGATATAGAGTTTGACATCGTATGAGTTGGCATTTTTTGTATATTGATTTTAAGAATATTTTTATCAATCAATGATCAGATTTTTTACACACAGGGATGTCATCGATGTCAAGGAGAAATGTACAAATAAATTAACTCTTTGAGGATACAAGGAAATATGATGATAAGGGTACAGGAATTCGAATTTATATGGACAGAATGGTAATCTGAAAATGGGTATTACTGGTGCATGAGAAGTTTAAAGCTGAATATTGTTGCTGACTGTAAATTGTAACAAAGGTCTATGGTGTTTGTGTGATATGTCGGAATTACGGTGGAGAAATGGTAGTTGCGATGTCCAAGCCCCCAGTAGATGGATATGGTGACACCATGTTTTGGAGATTGTGCTGATTTATCGGAAGGTTTAGCCATTCATAAACTAGAAAGTTGCTGAGTTCTTCGTTTGAGGCTCCGTGCGTAAGACGAGGCAATCAACTCTTGAATTTGCATGACCTTCTCCCCAGGCTTTCAACTCTCCTATGTATAACGTGAAGAAAAAGTCGTCTTTGCCAGGGAGGGGGAGGGGGCGGGGGTGGGGTGTTTACCGAACCGTTCCTCCCCTCTCACATGGGGCGTCGCCCCCACATGTAATAAAAAATGGGTAATGCTATGGGTACATAAAAATGTACCCATAGCATTTGACAAAATTGCCACATGTTTGGCCCCTATTGGAGGGTTGCCGGGTCCGACCCGTGGCCTCCACCTCCTATTGTGAGTAGTATGTAAAAGATTAGATAAAAAAATTAGGTAAGTGTAGCAAAACCCATAACGTGAAATAAATGAAGCCGTTCACATAACCTAGTAAAACAAGTACGTGTAGACTTCCACGATAGTAAATGGCTGTCTGTTTTCATACAGATTTTATCTTTTGAATAATGCTATGGGTACATAAAGGTACCCATAGCATTTGACAAAATTGCCACATGTTTGGCCCCTATTGGAGGGTTGCCGGGTCCGACCCATGGCCTCCACCTCCTATTGTGAGTAGTATGTAAAAGATTAGATAAAAAAATTAGGTAAGTGTAGCAAAACCCATAACGTGAAATAAATGAAGCCGTCCACATAACCTAGTAAAACAAGTACGTGTAGACTTCCACGATAGTAAATGGCCGTCTTTTTTCATACAGATTTTATCTTTTGACGTTTTGAGTATTTAAATATGATATTTCCTTGAAAGGACAAAAACAAATTGCCTTGTATGGTTTGCTTAATGATAAATGATATTTAGAACTAACGATGCAACAAAATGAAAATCTTAAGTACAAAATGTTTTGTTTTTTTGATTGAGTACCATGCACAACTATTTTCTTGAATACTATGTATAAACTCTTCAACTTCCACAAGTAAAGAGTCGAGTTTAAGATTGCATCTTTCACTAAGAGCCTGTTTGACAATTATTATTGTAAAAAAAAAAAGTTTCAAATAATGATTTTTAAGGAGAATGTGTGGTTAAAAAGTAAGAATTTTTTTTATACATTTAAAATATTTATTGTGTAAATGTATGATAGAAAATAGTCCTGTAATAAATCATAAAAAAATTAATGATTGTTGAGCAGACTTTAATATTTTGACACGAATAAAACCATTTGTACAAAAATGGTTTTCCAGAATTCTTACAGAAATCTCACACGGGATGCGGGCTCCACATGAACAAAATATTGAAAAAAAATAATTAGACCCACCTATGCATGTATTTTGTCCATGTTCTGTGTGCACAGTGTTATGTACACCCCGTAAAGTTCTTTTGATACCTCGTTCGAAAATTTATTAAAATACAAAATGCAATTTTACTATATGTACATACCTAACAGGGGGGTGCCATTTGTCCATTATGGACACCCCTATAGATTTTGCTATGTACACACTGTAACACATATGCCTAAGCTGTATGGAAGAAACAGAAAAATAGAGGAAACAAATCACTTTCATGTCAACAAGTAGCAGCTTAACTGCTCAACTACTCTTGCCTAAACACGACATTAGTAACCTTTCTCATAGCCGTTAAACCTCTGCCGCCCATAGGGTTTTGTGGCCCTTCTCTGTCTCACTCTCCTCCCCTCCCCTCCTCTGTCGCGCACACAATGCATTCCACCACTACTCTCTTCCTCGTTCCCATTCGCCGCCATGGTCTTTTCAAACACCACCTCCGGCGCCTCCACTCAAAACCGGTAATAGAGTACCCTCTTACACACCCGATTTACACCATTTGGGCTTCTAATACTTCTCTAGGGAAAACCCTTGTCTCAGCTGGCCTTTCCATTTCATTTCTTTCCACCACACATCCAAAAAAGTTCATTTATCTCAAGCCCGTTCAGACTGGCTTTCCGGATGATTCTGATTCGCGCTTCGTTTATAGGAAATTCTACGAGTTTTTAGCTTACAAGCCATTGCCGTTCTCGGTTTTAGCGTCGAACCATGTTCTCAGAGTCTCGGTTCCTGCTGGTAAAAGCCTTTTGGGAACTGGCTTTGTGGGTGGAAGTGGAAAAGGTGAAAATTTTGGGATTCAGAATGAAAAAGGAAATTTTTTTGATGGTTTTGGGAACGTGGGTTTGTATGAAGAGAGGAAATTACAGGGTAGCGAGATTGGTGCAGATGAATTTGGGAGTTCAGAATTGGTTTGTAAGACTATGCATGGATGGAAGGAGGCAGTGTCTCCACATTTGGCAGCCGAGAGAGAAGGGGCCTTCGTGGGGGATTATGAGCTATTGGATACGTTGAAGAGATGCATTGGGAGTGATTTGGGTGGAAAATGGTGCGATAAAGGAGAACTGGACGCAATGTGTGTGATTGAGACTGCTGGCGGAGTAGCCAGTCCAGGACCATCTGGTTCTCTGCAGTGCGACTTATATCGGTGAGTGGTTCTTTACATTTCACACCTTTAGCTTTTATAGTATCGAATTAACTTAATGGATGTCAAAATTTGAGGAAGAATTTGGAATTGATTTCTGAGGGATGAATTGTTTATTCAGATAATGAATACCAAGTAACCAGCCAAAATATTTACTGTTACTTAGCTGATCCATTGCGTGTCAATGAACTAGAGAAGATATAAAATACGAGTAAGTCTAGATATGGGTTTCTGCAGCTGGGTTTCACTGTCTAGTAGGAAGTATTTTGAATGGTGTAAAATCTGTGTACTGAATATCAATTCTATTAAATAAGACTAGATAAACATGTAGATGAAATGCCCAGCGTCATTAGTCTTAGCGTTTGTAAGCTTATATGAAATTGATAGGGATGGAATTTAATCGAATAAAGGGACCTTCGGTATGTACGGCTTGTTGCCTACCAAAGTTATCTATGTTCATGACACATCAAAGTGAGATATTTCTTGTTTGCTTTGGGTATTTCCGCTGTTCTGTTGCAGGCCTTTCCGTCTGCCTGCTATTCTCGTGGGAGATGGGCGTTTAGGTGGCATCTCAGGGACTATCTCTGCTTATGAAAGTCTAAAATTACGAGGTTATGATGTTGCTGCAATTATTTTTGAAGATCATGGCCTTATGAATGAGGTGCCATTGTTATCTTATTTCCGGAAGAGGTAATGGGAACTCTGTAGATCTGTTATTGCCTCAAATTTGTTGTTAATTTGCATGATCTAACAGTAACAGCGTTCCTGATGTTGCATTCTCTTCTCTTGTATTCTCATTTTTACATGTGTGCCCCATGTACTTGTTTGTGTATTTGCATTCTTGCATCCATTTTGCTTGCATAGTTATTTGTTCATTCCTTTGTACTTGTTGATTGCATAATACAGCCTCTGGAGATTGCTTATCCAGATTAAACCAAAATATCAAACAATTCCTCTTCTTTGTCTAGGGTTCCCGTACTCGTGCTTCCACCTGTTCCACAAGACATGTCTGATGATCTGATCAACTGGTTTGATAAATCTCATACTGTTTTCACTTCTCTTAAGGAAATAATGTTCTCTGCCTTTGTAGAGAGAATGCAGAGATTACATGACATGCCAAAGAAGGCATGCAACATTCTCTGGTGGCCATTCACTCAGCACAAGTTTGTACCTCAAGAAAATGTTACAGTCATAGATTCACGCTGTGGAGAGAACTTAGCTGTTCACAAGGTTAGTAGTTTAGTATGTTTTTCACCTAATCTAAGTCACTCTCTAATCTTGCTTATTGCTCCAAACATTTAAGAAATTTTTATATTTGCAGGATTGCAATTTTGATTCTTTAGGAATACCATCTTCATCTTACCTTATTTCTCTCCTTATATTTTGACATTACTTTCCAATTCACCGTTTTTCTGCATAACGGAATTGCAAAGAAAGTAGCTGGCTAATTTTATTTTAATCATTATGCAGTTTCAGAGTTTTGATTTGATTTCTCAACAATTTGATGCTTGTGCAAGTTGGTGGACTCAGGGTCCTGATGCTATCATGCAGGTCAGTCTCCAAATACTACACGTGTACAGCCGTTATAAACGGGTATCATGCAATGTTATACTTTCTTTCTGATGCAACTTTCCTTCTGATTCAATGAAGTGAAACGAGTAGGTTTTCTTCATAATCTAGTTTATGTTTGAGCATCAGAATGTTTAAGACCTTTCTGGCTATACTCTTGCCTTGCCCAGTACGTAGATGGTTATGAATTTTATTTCTCTGTGTGTTTTTTTCTTTTTCTTTATCTTTTTTGGTTGTGGGGAGGGAGGGTGGGGGTGGGGGGGTCTTGTTTTGAGGTGTGGAGATTGAAAAAGTGAGTTGAATGGAACATTGAATTGCAAATAAAGTTTTATAAGTTAGAAAGCATTTTGCTAACTTGATGTTAACAAAGTATGTGAGTTTTGTTCTGGAAAATAATTTTCAGAATAAATTCTGTCTGTTTATTTGTTGAACAAATACCTGTCATTGACATTATTTAAAGGCATTTCTGCAAGTTACAGTGCCGTGCTTTTTTAACCGGTTGCAGATTGAACTTGCTAGAGATATGGGCTATACTGCTGCTAGGTATGGGCATGTAATGTTTCCGGAGAATGTTTATGAGCCAGCTTTAGAATTGGCTGAACTTTTGCTTGAAGGTGTGGGAAAAGGTTTGTTCAAATTTTTATGTTCTTTCACTTCTCTTTTTCAGAATAATAATGTATAAAATATAAATTTCATTCGTATTATTTTATTTATTTTCTACTGAACTGAAATCTTACCATTCTTTTTGCAAATTCTTTATTTTTCAACTTTGTTTCCAATGAGTTTTCTTCAATTATCAGGCTGTTATTTGGCAATAGGAAACCTGAAAACATGGAACATATTTCTGATGAAGAGAGAGGTTTTGATTCTTTTGAAAAGGACAGTATGAATCATGCAAGGGACTGTATCACGAAGCCTTTTTAAACTAGATGAATTGACAGTGGAGAGATATGCTAATTTTCCCTTCATGATAGATAACTAGATAAACAAATGAACACAATTTCTGACTCTTAAAGTATGTGATCGATTCTCTGATCATATTACAGATATAGGACCAGTCATATAATTGGTATTCCAATATCGATAATCTGGTGCTCTCTATCATTTGATATCCCAAACATAGAATCCATTATGAGCATATTTGACTAAGCCTAAGAGTGTGTTTGATGCACATTAAAATTGAAAGAATGCATTTTTTTTTGTGATGTGATGGTGAATATGTGGTTGAAAAATAAAGAAAAGTTATTGATGTGATGGTAAAATGTTTTTTTATTGAAAAATGTGTGGTTGAAAATGAGTAGAAGAATGATAATGTGGCTCAAACAGGGGCTAAAATATAAGTAACTTTTAAGGTTTGTCAAACATGTTTCGAGCTTTAGAACTAATATTTAATTAATTTTTTTTTCCAAACTTGTTTGGCTTCTCTTTAAAATTGCCCGTTTTAAAAAAATTTTAGAACAAAATTTGCTTCTTTAAAAGCATGCTCTTGTTTACTTTTTCGAAAAGGAAGTTCGCTTATTTTTATGCTCCGCCATACATGCTTTGTTGGGATATATTAAATCTTCTGTATCAATTATGTTCCTCTGTTGCGATTTGTTAAAATAGGCAATGTTATATGTATTTACGCGCGTGTTCATCAAATTATATACTTATCTATATATGTAAATCCTGTGTGTTCATTATTTATATTTTTTGTTTCCAATCTTCAATTTCAATGACAATATAGAATCTGATAACTTGCAGTCCACACTTTTACATGAAACTGCTCCTCATAGTCACATTATAGCACTTCAACTTTTTCTCTGAACTGCATAATCTGATGCTGCTCTTATGTCCTGATTGGCCAAAAAGCATCTATAGTGCATACTGACTGCTATGTTCATCTGTGCCTGTGAAACCTAAAGATGATGAGTAACTTCTACATCATCTGATCTCCATAGATTCTATCTGGTTTTATATATGTCCTGGCCTTTTGGCTTATTAAAGAATGTTATGACTGATCCTAACTGCTATTTTTTAATTTTTGATGTTTCTAGAATGGGCTTCACGGGTCTATTTTTCTGATAATGGTTCCACAGCAATCGAAATTGCCCTTAAGATGGCATTTCGCAAATTCTTGTTTGATAATAAAGAACTCTTAGACCTTACAAATGGTGGCATGGATGAAAAATGTATTGACCTGAAGGTAAGTACATTTGTAGCTGACTTCAAATAAAAATTGCTCAATGCAATAAACTTCTTCCCCTGTTTCCTACCTATGCAGCCCCCCCCCCCCCCCCCCCCCCCCCACCCCATCTAGTTTTTCTTGTGAGTAGCATGCATATCTTTATGCTAGGAACTTTATTTGTAGGTAAATAAGCTAAAAAAATTTAGTGCTTGATTTTCTCTTGAGATATTGATTTATGCTCCAGGAAGTCCTTTGAAGTCAAATTTGATTTTTATAAAGTTCAATATCTTATGAATTTTTCAAAATCTGATTTCAAGAATGAAAACAGTTTTTTTCTTCTTTAATTTTTCCCATTCTTTTTTCCCCTGACTTTGGCTGCCTGTCGACAATGATTGCGAACTGAAGGCTTCTGCTTCTTGACTACTTTGATATTTGTTCTAGCATATAATGAAATCAAGTATAAGATTACATCTTTAAAATTAGTTGGACCTAATGATGAGTTTCCTGATTCTTTGAATTAGGTCCTAGCTCTGAGAGGATCTTATCATGGAGATACATTGGGTGCTATGGAAGCACAGGCACCTTCTCCTTACACTGGATTTCTGCAGCAACCCTGGTATCAACATTTCTTGATGATTTATATTTTGTTCACTTAATTGGAAGCATTATAGTGTGTGCTGTGGCATGCTGGCCTTTTGATATTGATATTTTTGCTGAAGTTACTGTTGAATATTTTATACTGGTCTTATTGATATGCTATGCCTAGTACTTCTGAAGTTCAGCCAACTTTAACATTTGTGCCTATAAAATTTTTTCCCCTTGTGGACTGAAACTTGTTAGTATGATCTGAGAAACATTCCCTATGATAACTTACAAAAATCTTAATTGAGGATTTTTCTTTCTCTGCTTGTATCAATTGAATTGTTAAAATTTCAGATGTATGTCTGGTTATAAGCATGAAGAATTCACTGCTATAATTAGAATTGTAGCTTACAAACTGTTAGTTCCATTATTGCATAATATGACTAAAACAGTAGAGCATGCAGATATCGTATGATGCATTGCAATCTGAACCATGGGTTACCAGGGTTATAAGTCATATATAGCATCCAATTTATCATGATATATGGGCGTGCTTAATTTCAAAACTTGTATTTTATTATATTTGGCTTGTTCATGCGTCTTTATAGCCTTCAGACAGCATGTTGTTAGTTATTGTTGGATGTAAATCTAATCTCCAAATTTCCTTTAATTTTTCTATAGCTTTTGATTTGAGGATTTTGGTTTGACGTCCCATTTTTTTTCCCACTCATTTTCTTTACAGAGTATTCTTTTCATTTTTCTTTCTACATTAAAGAGCGTCAGTGAGATGGGGTCCCATTCTGGCATTTAATGATTTATAAATTTTTTTTAATCAAAACGTGAATTGCAATTAATATTTTGGTTTTCATTTCACAAGCTTTTTATCTTCTAAATATCTTTCGATATTGCAGTTAGTTTCATAGTAATTTTCTATGATTTCTTATGCACTATATTTACTTTCATTCTCATGCTTCTCTTATCATCAACTCTTACACGCAGCACATAATAGTTTTATGTTATGAACACTCCACTTGTTTTACATATACCTTCAACCCTTAGTCCTCTACAGGAAACAAGAAATATTAGAATTGCACTTGGCTAAATTCATTGTGATACTGAATTTTGAAATATACAGGTACAAGGGAAGAGGTCTCTTTTTAGATCCACCGACAGTTTGCATGCAGAATGGTCTTTGGAAATTATGCCTTCCTGAGAAGATGCAAACTGAAAAGTTTGAAGTGGAATATGTCTGTAAGTGTCTTCGTCTTGTGCTGTTGGAGTTTTTTGTTCGTTTCATTCTTTCTTTCTAAAAGTTGATTGGTTTCTTTTTCAGCTTTCAGTTCACGTGATGAAATTTTCAAGAGTAATCGAGATGGGTCGAGTCTTGCCGGGTGTTACAGATCATTTATATCCCAAGCATTGCATCGAAATTCTGGCGGGTTTTCCCATATTGGAGCATTGATTATTGAGCCAGGCAAGAGTATAAATATATCACTTTTCTTATCCTAGCAAGTATCTTGTAATGGTTAATTTTCTTCTCTTTTGGGTTTGTGATGTATAAATTTGAAGTTGCTATTTCTTTGAGGTCAGTCTGATACCTGGTGATCCTTCAACTGGTAAATGGGCAGAGAAAGTGGAGTTGCAAGCGGATTAGAATTCTTGTTTGATTGCGCTGTCACATATAATCTATCACGTTCTTTTTCCCATTTAAGAGCAGTATCTTTAAACCTTACCCAATTCACAGTTTTATTGCTAGGAAATTTTAATCCTTTAGATATCTATCTCTAAACTTTATGCCCTTGTATATTCACATTCCTTCTTTATATCATCGTAGACATTTGATGAAAGTTCTCTTATTCAATTTTCCTCAGTCAGTCTTTGGCTGAGAAAGACCTATCACAATTGATAGGTGAATATAAGATCAACTCCACCCACCAGGTTTCATGAAACTCCACCCACCAGGTTTCAAGAAGCTTTTAACTTATTTGAGATCCTGGCATACTTCTGAAGTACTGCATTTCATATCCTGGAACCAATTTGTTATGGTGGAGTTGTATTTTCTAAATTTTATCAACTCCAACTAAATTGATGCTTTCTAAGAGGTTGTATGTACTTACGTCTGCACCTGGTAACATTTTTTTTTGGGTGGATGGAGAATAATTGTTAGATTTTCCATTTGATGGGTGTGTTATAACGTATACCCTTACAGGAAGCCGGGGGAATGATTGTTTGTTTTTAACTGCAATGAATACAGTTATACAGGGTGCTGGTGGAATGCAAATGATTGATCCACTATTTCAACGCGTACTTGTTAGAGAATGCCAAAGTCTGAAAGTTCCTGTTATTTTTGATGAGGTTTTTACTGGATTCTGGCGTCTTGGAACAGAGGTTGGTGAGTCACACTATTTGTAATTACACATCCTTTCCCCCATTTGACATGCAATTATTTGATTGCTGCCATATATCTTTTGGTTAGTCCGCTGCAGAATTGCTCTGCTGTCAGCCAGATATTTCTTGTTTTGCGAAGTTGATGACTGGTGGTATCATACCCTTGGCTGCCACTTTAGCATCTGATGCTATTTTCAAAGCATTTATTGGAGATTCAAAGGTAATATTCTATTTACAAATAACAGACAAATAACATGACTGCCTATGTGTGGCTCATGTTTATAAACACCCGAACACTTTTTATCCACAAATTTTGAAGGAACTACAAGTATTGCCACTTATCTACCACACCTAGACATGCTTTATATCAGGAAAGACACCTTTTTCTTGCACATTTGAAGTAAATGTTGTCTTGCAATTGGGCTCCGAGTCTGCCCGTTTACAAAACAGTGTGTTGGAACTCAAGAAACTCATTAGACATGTTAATGCTTGATGACATTCTATCTGAGCTTTTGTCAAATGAAAATATTCGCTCAATGATAAATTTGATAATGTTTCTTTGCGAGCCGAATTCGATGAGAAGGGGCAGTTAACCAGGTTCACCTCGGCTCACAAAACTATCAACATCTACTTGGCGTAATTGTTTTTAGGAGTGACTAAGTGAGGCAGGTGGAAAGTGAAACTAGTATATTATCATTTTACCGTCTCTTAGATTTAATTTAAATGTTGTTACATCTAATCTCTTGAGAAATCAAGTTTCAATGTTGGATTGATAACCTCAGTTAATTATTTTTTTGATAGGTAATCACGTAAATTTTATAAATCGAAATAAAAGATAATACGCAAGGAGTGCATTATCAAATTAAACAAGATAGAAACGATAAAAAGAGTTTTTTTTGATAGGTAATCACGTAAATTTTATAAATAAAAATAAAAGATAATACACAAGGAGTGCATTATCAAGTTAAACAAGATAGAAACGATAAAAAATTCGGCAACCCTTCTATCGGACTAACGGTTTCTGAATCCTGGTTGATAGCTCGGTGGTAGTTACTTTATTTTCAGCATCTGAAATTATGTGGAATGTTCAATTTGCTTTTGATACAATCAGGATGTTTTTGGTACTTCTTTTGCCTAGTTAATGGGATAGTTAATGAACTTGACTTGTGAAAGGATAACAATAAATTAAAGAAAAGAAGAGAAATGCACGTTGCTAATTTTTGACTTCTGTGCATTGTGAGTAGCGTTGTTGGGTTTATATAACTTGAGTTTCTAATATTGCTTGTCGGATAGTCTAATACTCCTTGCTTTTTGGGTTTGATGATTTTTATGTTTATACACATATTGGTCTAAGTGGAGCTTGTCTTACTTTTACAATTGGAAACCTGAAATTATATTCTGATTTCAGCTCAAGGCTCTTTTGCATGGGCACTCGTATTCTGCACATGCAATGGGGTGTATGGCTGCTGTCAAGTCTATCAAATGGTTTAAGGACTGCACAACAAACATTAATCTGATAGGTGAATCAAGGTTGCTTCAGGAGGTGAATTTATTTTAAATTTCTAATTATTATTCTCTATTTGTTCTATTTTGTGTCTGGCATTATTCCAACATTTAGTGTCAATGGAAAATATCAGTTTCTAAGCATTACAAGAACTAGAAATTTAAAATTTTATTAATATTATTGTTATTATCACTGCTTGCACTTTGTGGTCGATTTGATGTGGTCTTCATAATTTTGAGCTTTAACATTAAAGTGTAATCTTTTGATATCAGATTTGAGGCTCTGTGAGTCGGTTTTAATCTCATATTTTCCTTCTTTAAATGGAGATTTATCTATGGTTAGATGTGCCTGTATTCAATACTCTGACGAATGTGTAACATGAGCACATCTTGTATACTATATACGTTAATGCACTTTCCAGTACCGTGCGAAGCTAGTGAGGTCATTGTCCATGTAAAAAAATTACTTCCCTACATTTCTTTTAAGATAGAAACATAAATAATGATCTTGCTGTCAGCATACAGAGGTACAAGTACAATTATTAATTAAAAATTCATTTTAATTTCATTGGTACTGGAACTTATGTTGGACTCGCTATATTTCTGGTGTTCTGCAGTTGTGGGATTCTGAACTAGTGTGCCAGATCTCACTGCATCCAGCAGTTCATAGAGTTGTGGCATTAGGAACTCTCTGTGCCATTGAAATCAAAGCTGAAGGCAGTGATGTTGGGTAATTATATCCGGACTTTAAACTTTTCTCTTTCATTCTTGTTAGAAGTTGTCACAATTCACATACTTGTAGCATTTGTGACTTTTGGTAGTTTGTTCAACAGAAAATGGATTAATTTTATCTTCGTGCTCCTCTACAACTTCCTCAAAAAACTCCCTGTCAGCTTGATATGTAGTTGTGTTGCTTCCTTTGCTCTGTATAATTCTCACGTTTTGCTCATTTTCTTTTTGAGTACGGAGGAGTGGGCAGGGTTAAAGATTCTTAGGCCTTTTTTGGTTCACCAACAGGATGAGAGAGGCTAAAAGCTCAGAGGATTAGTACTATAGGATTTTTTCCCCCTTTTTATTTGATTTCTCAAGGATTAATTTACAGAATGTAATAGCATTGGATTTCCTAAATTTTCCCAGCTAGAGAGAGAAGGCAAAACTCACAGCAAACATCCTGTACACCCCTCTATTTGGCTATTTAGTCAAGCTAGTCCCTCCCTCCATTACCTTTCTCACCATTGCATTATAATGATCCCACCACCCTCAGCTATGGGGCTAAGGCAGTGACTTTCTTGGAGGAGGCCATGTCCTCAGAATTTAGTATCTTGAAATTGATTTATAGAGCAAAAGGAGGCAGGGGATTTGGATTGCCCTATGTATCATTACCAATTCCATCCTTGCTAAACCACCAGCCACCACTAACCAACCAATTTCAGTCCACCAAGAATAACAACCAATCCTTAGCAATTAAATCCTGCTTGTTTTTACTTCTAGCTTGCAGCGGGAATCAATGCTATCCAGTAAAAGGTCTAAACTGTAGTGATAAATGCGCAGGTATGCGTCCATGTATGCAAGTTCTCTTGTGAAGAAGTTACGCGAGGATGGCATCCATATGAGGCCGCTTGGTAATGTCATTTATGTTATGTGCGGGCCTTGCACCTCTACTCAGGTTTGCTCCAGCATTCTGGTGAAAATTTTCGCTAGAATTCAGGAGTTCAGCCAAGTGAATGACTCAGCAACACGTGTAGTTGAGCAATGTTAATCAAACCTACTTTTTTCGCTGTAAAATGTTGATATTTTGACATTTTCTGAATATATTTATCTTTAAAGTAATTATTGCTCCCAGCCCTGGTGTTTTCTGAATATATTTATCTTTAAAGTAAATATTTTGGTACAGTGTTTTTTCTTTTATTTAATCCAAACTCATTTTAAACTAACATTTTGTCAATAAAATAATTTTGTACATGGACTCAACCCTTTTTTATACTATTTAACTATAGATTTCTCTAAAAATGTCAGTTTTTTTACAAAAATTATCTTCAAGAAATCTACATCAAATAAACTTGATGCTTAAAGATTCTACCTAGTAAAATAATTTATTTTATCATATTTAGTTACATAAAGGTATGATAATATATATTATGTTAAGTTTAAAAATTAAATATTATCATCTCGAATCTATATCAAATATTATTATCATCACACTAAAAGTGAAACAAAGTTGGTCTTGAAAAAACTTCAAATTTTAAATTTATATTTACTTTTATTTTGTATAATATAATATTTTTGGATGAAATTTGTTCATTAAAACTTACTCTCTTATCAAGATATATAAACACTATGTAAAAGGAGAAAAAAAAATAAAAAAATACCCTCTTTAAATTCAAAATAATGTTCCAAATAAACCTAATATGATATATTAATTTAATTTTAGCACAAAGGCAAGAGTGCTGAGTGAGATTTCTGTAATTTTAAAAGACGGGAGAATTTTGTATAATTTGCCGTAATTAGTAATTGAAATAATCTCAAGTGTCAATTGTTAGGAACGATTTATTACTTGAATTCTACAGCTCCTAACTCTAGCAATGACTATGCTGAGAGTTCATCCCTGCGTAGCGATGATGAATATTTGAAGAGTCTTCCTCCACTTGTTCATTTTCGACCTACAGACGGAGAACTTATCGTCAAATACTTGATCAAAAAGATCAAGAAGGAGAAACTGCCTTATGATAAACTTGAATATGCATTATAGTTATCATAGTCATTCAATATTTAAACTTGTTATTGAACTGTGACCTTTAATTGATCATACTCAATTGTTCTCTAAACTACGTATATGCATTATAGTTATCCTCTCTCAAATTTTTAATTAGTTTACTATTGGTAACTAAACATAGTAAAAAAAATTCAGTAGAAGAATTAAAACTCCCAATCAAGAATAATTCTTTTGTGAAGTTCATAGTTAGAAAATGTCATTTTGAGGTGTAACAACTTTTAAAATTGGTGCTCAATGACTTATTTCCATGTTTGAGGATTTTTCGTGACCATTGGATTGAAACTTGATCAATGGTCATGGATCCTCGTATAAAAGGAGAAAAGCCTAGCCATTTTATACACTTCACTATCTTCTACTTTCGTGCTCTCTCGATTTTTCTCTAGGGTCTCTCCTTCCTCTCGGCTACGGTTCTTTTTTTTTTTTTAATTCTTTGGTCTGAGTTTACTCGCATTGCCAAAGACACTAGATACCGTGGTTGACGGTTGGTTTTTCGGTGAAATGTGAGTAAAACTGAGCCCAATTTTCATAAATCCTTATTTGATGTCAAGTATAGATTTTAGGCATTTTTTTATTGTAATATGTGGTTGAGAAATTGATTTGAGTTAAACTTTTGCCAGCCTTATCATATTTTGATTGTTTTTTTAAAAAAAGCTCATGTATATCCTTATTCGAATTAACATTATCTAATTTCTATGTTAATCTCTTTATAGAGTTCTAATTTTTCCCTAAATACCTAACAAACCTCAAAACAAACACCGAACATTTGACTTCGATTAAACATGTAACACACAAGAAGAAAACATCATTCAACGTCATTCTCCATTAGGGCTTTCTAGGAGTCTCAAGATGGAAAGCAAACCTATACAAACTGAAACTGCTTCTCTTACAAGCCTCATACATAATATCATTCCCACAACTTACAATACAGATGACAGTTATGATGATTATTTCTCTTGGCTTACTGATGATGAATACTTTGGCAGTTTGCCTCCGGGTTTTCGATTTGTGCCTAGTGAGGATGAGCTTATTCATGAATACTTGAACAAAAAGATTAGGAATGAGAAGCTGCCTCCAAACAAGATTAACGTCCTTAATCTATACGAGTTCAACCCTGAACAACTTGCTAGTGAGATGACTTTTTTAGTTAATTTATATACATTTGTTTTGTTATATGTTGCACGGATAGGAAAGAATTCATAGGGTTTTAAAAATGGAACTTTTCTTGGTAAATGTTGATTTTCTTTGTGTTATTTGGTTCGCAGATTACACGCCTGCTAGAGAGAACGAATGGTACTTCTTTACGCCAAGGAAGAGAAAGTACAAAAATGGGCAACGGCCAAATCGAGGTGCAGATAAGGGATACTGGAAGGCAACTGGGGCTGACAGACAAATCAAACGCAACGGTGAAGTTATTGGATATCAGAAGGCTTTGGTATTCTATGAGGGAAAACCTCCAAACGGTATAAAGACTACTTGGATTATGCAAGAATATCGAGTGAGTAATCCCCCACCTCTCCAACGAAAGGGTGAAGATGACATGAGGGTACACTATTTTTTTCTATTTTGAAAAACGAAATTAAATCTTGAGAATTTTGAAAGATTTGTTGAATTTTATTTTTCTACTTTCATATTATTTTGGCTTCATTAGGTCTATCACTTACAATTACCTTGATGGAATGTTTTCTTGCAGTTAGACGATTGGGTTTTGTGTAAGGTCTACAACAAAGAGGGCAAACCAAAAGGAACTAGAAAGCGAGCGAGGATCAATAAGAATCAGATTCAAGAATCAAATAACAACACTGATCAAGCTGCAGCAATGCAGGAAAAAACTGATCATGCACTAGCTGTTCATTCTGCTGCTCCATATAATTTTAAATATTATCAGAATCCCAATAACTTGGTTTACCCAGATGTTCATGTTGTTCCTACATATCAGAATGCAAATATGTGCAGTAATCTAGCACCCATTACCACGGTGTCACCAATGCCGTCACTAGTACCAGATCATTCGAGACATGTGGCAGTGTCGATGGAACAACATCACGAGATTTCAAGAATGCCAACTATGGATATTAATGAATTTTTGGATATGGAATGTATACTGAACCTGGAGAATCAGCCCCATGACTACTCTCTATTATTCTAGCCCCTCAACCCCAATAAATCTTGTTAGTTTGTTTTAGTTATTGAATCTGCATTGAACCTTGGCTTTTTAGCGGTTTTAGATGTAGGTTAGTTTGCCTTTGTTCTTGATGTCAGACCTTTTGTTTTTTAGCAGTTTTAGATGCAGTTTTTTATTTTCATTTTATGGTACTTTTATTATGTAGGCTTGGAGATATATTTTATCAACATTTTTTCACTCTGCAAATCTATAGTGATGTTTACTTTGGTTTTCCAATTTAAATTAGTTATCTAAATTTGATTTTTGATTTATTTCTAGCATTTTATTTGCTTGTCTTGTGAATTAATATAATCTTTAACATGGATAAAATAAAATTTCAGGTGATTTCGAAAGTGTGTGAATCCGTTATTTTGTTGTTTAGCTTGATAAAAAACGTATAACTAACGGAATTTAGTTGCTGACTTACAACAAATTTAACTACTTTTAAAATTAAAATTAGAGATAAGTTATTCTGTTACGTTCAAATTCTACCTTTAAATTATCTTAAATTATTTAGTCTCTTATAACATGATTTATAACTTTTTTTCCAAAATTCAAAATGTAAATTTTGAATTCACTGAAAGTGTGTGTGATTGAAATCAAAGTTGCAAAAATGTAATTATATATGACTTAGTTTAATCACCTTTCTTGTTTGTGAAGAGGTAGCAAGTATCATTATTCAATTTAAACATTATCTATTTTATATTTAATTTGAATGTAACATAATGTTAATCTGTTTGGAGTTTTATTCCAAACAAATTGTTGCCCGCTCGTATAGTTTTGTTCTCTTTATTTAGTTTTCTTTATTTTATAAATTGACCATTTGAACGTGTTATTTGATGTCCATCCATTCATTTTCCATATAATATCTTAGGGCTGTTATATAAGTGACTTTCTCGCTCCATATTCTTCATTGAAGCGATCACTCTATATAAGGGCATGTTTGGGTCGGATTAAAATCTGATTTTAATCTAAATCAAAGTCAAATAATCAATATTAACCACATCGATCTTTCATGGTTCTCACATCTTTTTAACCACATATTTCAAAAACTTCTATTACAATCCACTAAAAATCTAATTTTAATCCCCACCAAATACCCTCTAAAAATTTGTGTATGGTTCATATTCTTGTTTTCTTTCATTGTATATCTCTTTATATAGTAGTCCGATCAAGACAATGATAGCTCACTAGCTTGTATAATTTTTTCCTAAAGAAAAAGTACTACAACATTCCTCTAGACAATGGTAGGTTGTATATAACGCCCTAAAGAAAATATACTACAACATTCCACTAGGTTGTATAAGTCACAAAATGCTACAGAAATATTCTATGAAAAAAAATATATAATTGCATGTTATAGTCATATAGTCATTCAATATTTTTAAATTGAACTATAACCTTTGTCCTCATATGAATTGATCATTTCTCAAATGTTCTCTAAACTGCTATATGCATTACAGTTATCCTCGCTAACATTTTTAAATGTTTACTATATTGGTAACTCTTGCCGAACATTGTAAAAAAAAAAAAAAATCAGTAGGAGAATTAGAACTCGCAATCAAGAGTAATTCTTTGGTGACGTTCATATTTAAATGTCATCAGTTCAAATCTCGAATTGTCATCTGTGCTAAAAAAAACTTAAATTTTTTATTGTAAGTTTCCATTAGTATTCATATTTTTCTGATTGAAAGTATTAGTAATCTTTCTTTAAAGATAATAATATGCAAAACAAGACACGGACTAAATTATAAGAACAGCCGAGTAGCTATCAGTTGGAAGTTCACTGAACACTAAATGCATTGAGCCAAAAAGCCATTAATATTCTAGTTTAGGAGTTAGGGAACTTTTAAAATGTTTTTCAATTAATGCACTGCTCCATCTTGACATGTACACTTCCATGGCCACTCTCTCTATCTCTTCTTTCTTTATCCACTTCCTCTCTTGAGAGCTCAACTTGAGTCGACTTCCCTTAAAAATACTAAAAAGTTGGGGAGAGACCTTTGTTAATTTCATCGAGATTTGGTGTGGAAATGGGTGTAATTGGGAGAAAGGAGGCTTTTCTAAGGGTTCTTGCTACCGTGTTCTTAGTGTTGACAGTGTGTCTTGTGGCATTCGATGCCCAAACTAAACTTCTCTTCTATTCAGTTGTCCGAAAAGCAACGTTTAGAGACTTGAATGCTTTGTTGTTAGTTCCATTTACTTTCAATTCTCAAGAATTTTAATGCTTCCATGACGAAGGTTAACTCTATCATAAATCTTAAACTGTTAAGAGAGATAACCTGTGTATTTATTCAAGTTCAATTTTCAACATCCCATACAAACTCGATTATTTTTAATTTTTTTTCATCAAATAGGTGACGGCAAATCTTAGCCCTAGATTTTTCAAAAATTTTAATGCTACGACAAAGGTAAATTCTCTATCGTAAATCGTATACTGGTAGAGAGATAACTTGTGTATTTTGAAACCAATACAAACTCGATTATTTTTTTCAACAAATAGGTGATGGCAAATCTTAGCCCTAGATTTTTCAAGAATTTTAATGCTTACACGGGTCTATAAGAAATCTTAAACTGCTAGAGAGATAACTCGTGTATTTATTCAAATTCTGTTTTCAACATCCCGTACAAACTCGATTTTTTTTTATCAAATAGGTGACGGCAAATCTTAGCCCTAGATTTTTTCAAGAATTTTAATGCTTCCACAAAGGTTAATTCTCTATCATAAATCTTTAACTGTTAGAGAGATAAATCGTGTATTTATTCAAATTTAGTTTTCAACATCACATACAAACTCGATTACTTTTTTTTATCAAATATCTGACGGTAAATCTTAGCTCTCGACCTTGTTGACTTTGATAAGCTTTTAAGTGAGATAGTGCAACACGTCACACCCTTGTGGAAACTGCACAAATTCATTACTAGGTTTAGCATCTTATAAGATTGTTTTGTAATTCTATGTTTAGTGCTTTGGTATGGATTGATTCTGCTGCTGCTGTATGCAATCTGCTCCTATTATTCAGAAGTTATATTTTGCCCGGTTCTAAAGAAGACGTAACAAGCAATTACAAATATCTGGCTTGGGGTTTTTGCTTATTGGACCAGGTAATTATTTCAATTAATTTAGTCCCCGTTTGATTTTACTAAAAATTAAATTTTTATAAAAAGTTGATGAAATGTGTCGTTGAAAAGTTAATAAAAATTATGAATTTAATTGTTAAATTTAATTTTTTAGCTAAACCAAACAGGGACTTAATCTTGTGTTATAGAAAAATATTATTCAATAATAGTGTTTTTTCTACTTGATCAACGCCGGTTTTTCTACCATCATGAAATTAGAGAACTTACTTTAGTTCGGGTAACATTGATTTTATTATTATTTTTTATTTTATTATTTTTTTAATTATTATTATTTTAATATATGGTATAGTGGATTATATAATTCAATGATATCCACTAATTCGTATCCAGATTTTCCTTAACGCAGAAATGCATTTTAAATAGTGATTTGATGAAAAATATGTGGTTAAAAAATAAGGAAAAATTTTGAAAAAAACATTAGAACAAAATCATCACCACTTATTACCATTGGAATTGTGCAGTATTGAATCATATAGCTAACTAATTAATGAAGTTATTTAGGCTCTGTTTGTTTCCACTTTTAAGCAGAATTCCTATAGTTACTACAGTAATGTAGCCGCAATCTTTGACCTCTTTCTCTCATGGTGGGCCCCAATGTTTTGAAAAATGGGTAAAAAAAATTGATTTTTTATGTTAAAAACAATTTGAAAAAAACATGGGCTTAATCTCTTTTGTCAATTTTAACATATTTAGTAGTACTATAGCATTTGTTATCTAAGTAGAAATCAAACATTGGAATGAAATCATCACTAGCGAGATTAATGGAACTCTGAATCTTATCAACAACGTATGAATGAATTTATTTCGTCTCTTTTTATCATTGTCAAGAAATTCAGTAATTTGACAAAAGGTCAGCCGCACTATAAGTAGGCTAACAACGCCATTAAAAAGTCACTGACACTTTACTGCGGACGTCCCATCACTCAGTTCTAAAAGATCTTCAAATATGTTGTGAGGCAACGTCGGCTTTATGGGTTTCGGACGACCCTGTGATAACCTCGGATTGGATTGTGCCTCGTCTTTGAGGTGGTGCTTCAAAATGGCTTTCGTCAGTGTGAGCTTCCGATGCCGTTATGAGAGCTTCGGTCTCTTTGTTTTACTGGGACTTCTGTCCTTTTGGGCCATCCTTTGACTTTTTGTCTGATGGTTCTTGCGTGGTATGCTACGTGGCTTTCTCTCCTTGGACCTCGGAATCGAGGGATAACATGGCTTATGCGTGTATGGTTTAATAATAATACATTTTAATCAGTCTAATCCAATACTGTGTATCAAAAGTACTCTTGAAGAATTTTGACAGCCAACTCAAGTTTAATGAATAACATCCACAACATCGTCAATTCATGCCATAAAATGTTGAATTACTAGGTAAATCAAAGTCGTGTTGTCGTGTCAGTGGATTTGAACGTGGATAAGGTTAATGTCCTCAAGATTCGTGGTTCTTCAACATTATTGGTTTTAAGTTGGGCCCAAATTTACCAGTTACTTGTCAAACTGTTTAATAGTTGTGGACTAAACCGAGTTTTCAGTTACACGACATTATGCATTTGTGCTTGGGGCATCATATCAGGTGAATTATTGTCACTTGGAATGTGATGTGCACGAGTGAGACATTATCCTTAGAGATCTGAAGTGACATGCCCAAAATGGATATTGATGGGGGCCATTTACAATTGGGAAAATGTATCTCCAAGTCGTTCCGCACAACTCTCGGATGTTGACAATGTTACCATATAGGATTACGTGATAATTTAACTAAGTTTAAACGGTTGTTGTTTTATTAGAAAATTGATTTAGACAGATAACATTTCGTAATTTTTCTCCAAATTTAATTTTTTTCTAATCACACGTATCTCTTTATTCATCTTGATATTTTATTGGATGCGGATATGGGGATGAATCGGAAAATTGGTCCATGTTCTGAAACAATTTTATGGTGGTGGTGGTGGTGGTGCTGCTGCTACTACTACGTTAAACATATACGTATTTTTAAGCTTATAATACATGTACATCACCATTTACAGATTTGTTTATCAATTGATGGTGCAACGAGATTTGATTGGGTCAAAATATCATCAACCAAATTAAAAAAAAAAATTCCCCATTTTCTTTTTGACAGTTCATCAATCTGTAAAAAAATATGTAAATTTTGATGTATAACAACCATTTTTGTAATGGGGATTATGTCAATAGATTAATGTATTTCATTTAAAATTTCATTTGAGTTTCATTTTCTTCTCTTAATATTCTTCATTTTCAACATTACATAGAAAAAAATAGAAAAAGATCCGTTTTCATAAAATTGAAATAAAAGAATAAAAATAGTTTTAATCATACATCACGTAATCGTCAAAAAAAAATAATAATTAATATATATATATTAACTTGGTATAAATTTCAGTTCGAGAACAGATTTAAAACACAATAAATTTAAGAGTAATGTTATTCATCTCCAGTGGGATGAATACACAGTTTACGTGATTTTAAATGATATGTTAAATGAAAGGTAAAATTAAATAACTTTATTTAATTTCACCTATCATTTAATGCCACATTGACGCCATGTAGACTATGTTTTCATCCCTAGTGAGGATGAATAGCATTACTCTAAATTTAAGGACTAACCATGTTTCTCAATCTTACATACTAATTATTGTTAGTATTCGAATGACCAAGAGTGTAGCAATCCGTTAACACGAATGATTAGCGGTAGATATGAACACAATTTACTAATTAACTTACCATGTCGACTTATCTCGTATAAAGCTTAAATCCGTAAATTTATTTATTAAAAATCTTGTCTTTAAGCTAATAAAGAAATTATTCATCCAACAATTTTGCATGGAACATCAAAGCCTAAGAGATAAATCAACCTGGCTGAGCTCTTCTTGAACATGACTATCAGCTTTGTATTCCTTTTTCCACTGATGATAATTCACTTCTCTCGTTTCATTGCTAATATCAGTGGAAAACCAGGGGCCGCTAGAACTCAAACTTGTACATAGTTCTCTGCTTTTCTTGGCTAAGGTCCTCTCGAGTTTGTGAGCATTTTGGTGTCCTCCAAGAGCTTGTGAACTGTAAAACGTTCTCAGGCAGTAGGTACAGGGGAAAACTCGGGTCTTGACCTGGGGTGAAGACAGCGACGACGGAGGAATAGATGAAGGGTTGGGTTCAGGGTCGAGGTTGAGCTCGATTGCTGATAAACTCAAAGTGAGAGAAGGGTTGGGTTTATGATTCATGTTGTGTATTGAGCAGAAGAGAAGAAGAAACAAAGAATTTGGCAAATTCAGAGGAACTTCGCTTAACGGGTTTTTGGCTTGAATAATAGTTGAAGACAAATTTTTGGCTAGTATGGGATTCATATGTTATATAGAAACACATGCATATATGAGTTAATTTCACCTATCATCGTCATTGTATAGTTTGTAGGAAATTTCAAGTTGGCTGTTTGGTTTTGAGTAAAAATCAAATTTTTAATAAAAATTGATGAAATATGTGATTGAAAAGTCATAGATCCCATAAAATGTGCGATTAAAATTAATTTTAACTTAATCACTTCATTAGAACGATGGTCAACAACTCGGGGCAAGAAATGATGAGAAGCGGCTTACGATGCAAGAACTCTTTTCCTTTTTAGCATATAAAGTGCCGTGACATCCGTTAAGTTTTAAGCTGGTCCCCTATTTGTGTCATTTAGATTTCTTGATCAAAATATAGGCAAGATTCCTTTGCACAGGTCCAGAATTTCCCCTTTTTGATGTGGGATAGGGTTTGGGTTAGATGAAAGATGAATTTGAATTTTTTTTTTCCTTCTAAACCATCACGATTTTATTCCTGTTAATTGATTTTGATCGAGTGAATTAACGTCTGTTACTCGAACTTGGCACATATTACATGTTAATATTTTCGAATCGAGTAATCAATGATGAAAATATTTGAACTTTATCGACTAACATAAGATTTTGCACAAACTTCATGATAAAGTTAACCCATACATACATAATTGTACGTATGAACCAGTGTGCGTGTTGTTTCACTTTCACGTTATATGCCATCAACCTCTTTGGAATAATCCTGCACTTTTTACCCTATTTACTTAGGAGAAAGTGTGAACAGCAAAATAAAAAGAAGTCCCAAAGTTAAAAAGTGAAAAGAACCTAAAGTCTCTATACATCTTTAGACATAGGACGGTGTCTGTGACACGGACGATGTCGGTACTTTAGACATAGGAGTCGGTATCTGTGACACGGACGATGTCGGTAATCTTCAAAAATTCTATGGTAACATTCTCTTATTATTACATTTTTCTTGATTTGTTTCTTCAAGTGTACTACCTTACGATTTTTGTAATAATGGGCTCGACAAGGGCATCATGCATAGATTGGCCGCATGTCAATATAGCCACTCAGAATGTCTGATCGATTGTAGAAGTGAGTAGACCAAATACACAACTTAAGCTTGGATAGGGTCGACCCGAACCGGGACGGACAGTTCTTTTTCACATCCTTAGGTTATTGTTATTAGGTATCATACAACGTATTAAGCATGCATTGATTGGTGTTCATTCTCTTCCCCGATCTTTCAACTTTTTACTCTTGGCAAATCCAATGGCTTTAAAAGTACCTAGATATGTATTATTAATTAAACTGAAAACTGATGACATGTTTGGTACACTGAACTTCAAGGTTAACGTTGGAAATATAAGAGGGAATACGATTACTTATGACGTATTGATGTCCGTAATATAGCATTTTCCACTCCATCCCTTTGTACCAAACATAGCATTTTGAGGGGCTTTGGGTTTGTCATATAGAATTTTAACATTCAATTATGTACTATAAAATGGTTAAGAGTGTTCAATTACTATGAACTAAAGATAAAAAAAATTCATTAAATTTATTTAGGATAAGTCGAGAACTAGAACTTTAATCTATTAAGCAAGAAATGTGAAATGGCTGCCTTGTAATTGGCTGAGAAGCCTGTCTACTTTAAAACAATGTCTTTAAGTACTAACTTAGCCTCCATCCGTCTTGCATGTGTTAAGCATGCTGTCAGCGTTGATTTTGAGTCAGAATCGAACTTTCCATGAGATTCATAATTGCATTACTTATAGTTTCCTTGTTCGTAGACAAAGTGGATTCGAAATTCTCTTTCACTCGAAGGCATATCTTGTATCCATACACTTCATATTCGCTCCTAGAAATATAGCCATCTCTACCCTCCTCACGTCAATCCCACGAGCCTCTGGTCCATTCTCATTGAATCACAGCGTTTGGTGATGTTTATAAATTATTTACAAATAGTGAAATTTTAATGAATTCATAAATATTATTCACCTATTTTTATTTATGCACGTAACGTCTTCTTCTGGTTGTGACTCATTGTCTCATTTTATATATGGCTCTATAATTATACGGACGCAGAGAGAAATGAATAGACTTGAGTGGGTCGGGGATGCTGCAGATTGTAGGCGTATAGATAAGATTATAATACCAAATGTCAGCTAATTACTGAACCCAAAAAGGATTTTCTTTGGATAAAAACGAGGCAAATCAAAGGGACCAAACACCACAAAAACCTATGATAATAAATTGAATCACGCGACCGCTACATATATAATATTGAATGACAACGTCTTATTTGACATCATCATATTCTTTCATTAAAAAAAAACGTTTTCTATATACGTGGTAAGATTTTGACAACACATGATTGTCAATCATTGTTGTCAGCCAATATTCTAATATTAACCGATTATTACTCTAATGCTGTTCTTCCAACAAAATTAAACAATTCGAATCAAATTTTAATTTCTTTGATTTTAACATTTCATCATTTTCAAATAATTCCATCCACAATATATGGTTAAATTAATCAACGTAGTGACCAAGTCAAGTTCGGTCTTTTTGCGGTACACGTGAGTCAAACAAGTTGATGATAAGTACTGTAGTAGTTGAAGAATTTAATAAATAAATTATCATAAATACCTACTCTATCCATTTGCTTATTAAACCATGATTTATTAATTAATTAATTAATGCAGGGCTTTTATCAGACGTTTGAGACAGTCTAGAAGGACACCCATCGACACTGCACACATTGCCCTTAATGATGTGATATATATTGAAGGAATAATTCCTCAAGTACAGGAAATATTGCCAGATTTTGTACAGAATTTTGAATTGAAAAAATTATGTGAGTGTATCTTTGTTTTCCCTTCCCTCCTCCATGTTTGAATTCAATCCATCAATTTCACATTTTCGTGTGTATTATGTGAAATTTCCTTGTACTCATAGCATAGTTCATATTGAAGGATCGGCAGGCTTAACCCTTGTAAAATCACTTTACATTATTCAAGATTTATGAATTATTTAAGTAAAAAACTAATCGTAAATACAATTATTCTATTTGTACAATCATATTTGACAATATTGGTGTTGTTAAAATTTGGGCCATTAATTTAAAAAATAATTTTTGATATTGATGAATGTGATATTGCCGAATGTAAATTGTCAATCAATATCGTCAAACTAGATTATACATTTAACACGATTCTCATAAATAATATATTTCTTTTAGGCTAACTGAATTATATATTTATATTCTTCATGGTAAAAGTAATATTTATAGCTTGTTACCACTTGATGGTCCTAATGACATGAATAGCCAAATGCCTTCTATTAAAATATTTTTTTTTCACTCCTTTCCCATATCCTCGTTTTATAATCCGATTTTTTGCTCTATTTTGCTAGGTTAGTGCCCTTCGATGCATCATTTAAAAGAGACGTGGAAGGGAGTTATTACGGAGAAGGTCTGGAGGTTACGAATGAAATTTTGAGCTTATATTGATCATAGATTGAGAACAAGAAAGTCTAATATTTAACTCGTTTACATCCGTCAACAGACATTTCAATTTCTGGCTTTTAAATTTGTGCCTACAACTCGGCGCCCGTTTGGCCCCCATTATTTCAAATTAAAATGAGAAGAATAGTAATTTTTTGGAGAATGTGTGGTTTAAAAAAAAAGGAAATATTTTTGGATTTACGTGTAATATTATTTTATTGAAAAATGTGTGGTTGATAAAAAAAAGAGAGAAAAATAAATTATAATTTAATGGAGAATAATGGTGGCCAAACGGGGGCTCAGTCAGCATAGAGTCAAGAAAGATTTTCTTACAAATAAACACCAAATATTGCATTTATTTTAATTTATTTGGCTACATTTTCAATCATTCTAACTTCATGGAAACGTTGAGTGAATAAAGTGATAAACTTATGAAGGAATAGATTTTTCATACCTATTTGAGAGGCTCATAGTTGATGTAGACTTTTAACTAGGAATTGATATATGCTCTTGTTGAAGAAAACAATAGGGGCCATTTTGTATGGTTTAAAACATTGTTGGGATGTATGATTTTGTGTTTTGGATTTGTAAATGTCAGCCTGCTCAACCACAAGAAAAAGTGGGAATGTGGCGACCGATTTAACTCTAATAAATCTAATTGAATGATTCCAAAGTTGGTGGTTTTCCAAAGTTGCACTTATATAAATCTAATTGAATGATCCCTAATGGTCTAATAAAAAAATCTGTAATAAAGTTTGACCACTCCTCATTTATGAGAATTGTGCACGAATTAGACTTTCGATAAAAAAAAAAAAAAATGATCTGCATGTAAAGAAATATGTTAAGATGATTTGCACATAAAAGAGCACGGAAAGAACATATTAATAAGTGATAAACCAGGTTGTCGCCGAAACTTGCTCCAAGTGACGTCAAAACGGTGTTTTACTGGCTTAATTTCACATTCTATACCAAGCAACCAATCCAAACGACTCCAACTCACAACCAATATATTCACCTTGATTGTTCCTCAATCTCACCCATAAAGGACAAAATAATGGTGATGATTTGTAGCCACAAATGCACGAGAAAAATAATAGAATAAGGCACAAAGAGGAGACAAACGAATGAAAAAGTCACCGGTTTTCACTCTCCAAAGGAAGCACATTTTCTTCCACTTTGTGGCTGGTTTTTCTCTCTCAATTACCAGCCAAATATTCTTCACAGCAAGCACAAAGCAAAGCCACATGTTTCTCTCTTTCTTACACACAAATCATCCACAAAACGGTTAGGGCAAATACGTCATATGTAAAGGTTAGGTTATGCTTTAGTTAGACTAATAAAAGAGGTTAAATGAGCTAAGATTCAAAGCCACCAAAAATGTAATATATACCGGCCATGAGCAACATTAGTTGTTTAAGTTACTTCCAACGGTCTACATATTTTGATTGAGCTTTTGGACTGGTTATTGGTAATAATTTAATCTACCATTTACATCATCACTCGAAATTCATTGGGTATCAAAACCCAATACAAGTAAAACCCAAGCTCCACTGTATATGCTAAATTTCAGTTCCATAAGGCAGGCTCCAATATTTGAAGAGTCCATTCCATCCCCCCCCCCCCCCCCACCCTCCTTCACAACTTGCACAACCTTCCAATTTTTTTTTATTATTATTTTTTGTGAATTGTGATGTAAAGTGAGCAAAGTCGATCACATTTAAATGGCACCGAATAAGCACTCCAATTTTAGTGTGCATACTGAATTAGGCCCAAAGAAATTTTTTCATGTTTTTCTAAAGGGTAAATTGTACATGGGGTACCGAACATTTTGATTTCTAGCCCTCGGCGTCTCAAACTTTAAATAGTCTACGCCTAAGGTACTTTGGTGATGGAAAACATCGGTTTAATCACTAAACGATCAAATTTTGAATGTGACCCTATTTGAGTCACATTATTTTTTTCATTCTCATTCTTCTACTCATTTTTAACCACACATTTTTTAATAAAATAATATTTTCCATCACATCATTAACTTTTTCTTCTTTTTCACCCGCATATTCATCATCATATCAACGGCAAAAATACATTTTTTTCCAAAAAATGTGCACCAAACGGGGGCTATATTGACCATTTTACTTTATTAATTAATCCAATTAATAAATTTCACCTCGGATTTCGAACCTTTGAAGGTTGTAATGATGAGGTCTTGAATTTCGATTTTCTAACAACTCGGATCCCCAACCTATGAAACGTTGGCAACCGACGTCCTTTCATGACGGATAAAAATTGCTGTTTTAGTTTCAAATTTCACCACTTCACCACTTGTCGACTCCCAAATTGATAAAAATACATTATCCATAGTTGTATGGATCATTGCAAGGTAAATCAATTTACAATTATACCATGTCATAAAAGCATTAAATATGTCATTTAACATTTTAATCTAAATACATTGTTATAGTCCTTCAATTCCTTGTGCCATTGTATGATTACAGGGAAGATTAATTAGTGTATGGTTGTCAACTAAGCAATTTTGGTTAGTTAGGGAAGCCATAAATGACACAATATGATGAATTTAATTAGAGTTGAATTTGTAAAATAAATGAATTTTCTCTATTTTGTTTGAAATATGTCCAGTATACATTCAAAATTTTAATAATCTCATGGATCTCCTCTATAAATCTAGCATAATCCATCTCTGTGCATTAAATATTAAAATAATATCATGAACCTACTCCATAAATCACACACAATCCCTCTCTCATATTCACACAATCCATCTCTGCTCTCAATATACACACAAATATATATATCTAACCACAAGTACATACTCCTTCTTCCTCCTTAAACACGTTTAAGGAAGAAATAAACATTGAAAGATGAAGGAGTTTTGGACAACCATAGCTTCAATGATGGGGTTGTGGGCATTCTGCCAGACCATTCTACACACAATCTTCCCACAAGAACTCCGATTTGCCTTTCTTAAATTCTTCCACAAAATTTTTAACTCCTTCACATCGTACTGCTACTACGAAATCACAGAAGTCGACGGTGTCAACACCAACGAGCTTTACAACGCCGTGCAGCTCTATCTCAGCAGCTCCGCCGCCGTTTCCGCCAACCGCCTCAGCCTCAACCGCGGCCTTAATTCCAGCTCCATCACCTTCGACCTTTCCAACAACGACCGCTTAGTAGATTCCTACAATGGCGTAAAAGTTGTATGGGAACATGTCATTACTCAGAGGCAAACACAAACATTTTCTTGGCGGCCATTGCCGGAGGAGAAACGAGGGTTTATTCTAAGTTCCAAGAAAAAGGACAAGACTGTTGTATTGGGATCTTATTTAGATTTCGTCATGAAAAAGGCTAAAGATTTACGTAGAGAACACCAGGATCGTTTGCTTTACACAAATTCACATGGGGTTTCATTAGATTCTCGAGGCCACCCTTGGGAATCTGTACCCTTTAAGCATCCAAGTACTTTTGAAACACTTGCAATGGATCCTTTGAAGAAGGCTGAAATTATGGCTGATCTTTTGGATTTTGCTGATGGGGAGTCTTTTTATCAAAGAACTGGGAGAGCTTGGAAAAGAGGGTATTTGTTATATGGTCCTCCTGGAACTGGAAAATCTAGCATGATTGCAGCCATGGCTAATTATCTTGGATATGATATTTACGATCTTGAATTGACTGAGGTGAATACGAATTCCGAATTGAGGAAGTTACTGATGAAAACCAGCTCGAAGTCGATTATTGTTATTGAGGATATAGACTGTTCTATAAATTTGGCTAATAGGAATAAGAATGGGGTTGGAAACAATAACTATAATGCTTCACCCCTACCCGGGTCTAATCGGGGTGAGGATGGGGGAAATACAATAACTCTTTCGGGGTTATTGAATTTTACTGATGGATTATGGTCTTGTTGTGGGAATGAGAGGATTTTTGTGTTCACGACGAACCATGTTGAGAAGCTTGATCCAGCATTGCTGAGAAGTGGGAGGATGGACATGCATATACATATGAGTTATTGTTCTTTTTCTGCATTGAGGATTCTTTTCAGGAATTACTTGGAATGTGAGGATGATCAGTTGGATGGAGTAGTTTTGAAGGTATTGGAGGGTGTGATTAATGAGGCGGAAATGACACCTGCCGACATCAGTGAGGTTTTGATCAAGAACCGGTGCGACAAGGATAAGGCCTTGAGGGAATTGTTGGAGTCATTGAAGAAGAGGGCCGAGAGGAATCGGATGAAACTGAGTGAAAGGAACACAAATGAGGATAAAGACGAGGAACTGGAGAAGTGGGCGTGATAGTCCAAAAAAAGACTCTGATCTACTGCAAGAAAGTTGCAACAAATGTGATGAACTCGACGATCAAAAGAAATATCAAAGGCATCTTTGATACATAGTATTATGCGGGACTCGACTTAACAATAGCTGGTTGGGGACCTTTGGATGCCTGATAATCATGAAAACACAAGAATATACATGCCTGCTAGATTAGCTTGTTTGCACGTGGTCTGTTTGGTTATATTTGTTTTGTAGTTCCTACATTTGAACCTAAATTGTTGCCTTCATATTATCATAGTATCTTAATCACATGCTACTGTTATGTCCTAAAGAATAACATACTGGTTTTGCCTATAATATGCATTCTTAGTTGGTTGATATGTGATTGCACCTAGGGGCACATGGGTAAGGTGTAAGACGGCTCGGGTCGACCCAACATATACTTTTAAATTCTTTAGTGTTATAGATAATTTTTGGCAAAACAAAAAAGACAGCATGGACCATCTCCAAGACAGGTTAGACCACGGCGCAGTCTATCCCATTCCCACCATTGTACTAGATGGAGGGTACTTCTAGATTAGTGATGGTTCGCAGCCATCATCAACATTTGAATAATGGAATTGAGAAACAAACTGATTTTCAATTTTGTCTTGAGGCCAAACTTTTCCCAACTGTGCAATATGTAATGGTGTTAAAGTGGCTAGACCTTCCAGTCTCAATAGAACCTAGCTTGTGATAAGCTCGGTTCCAACTCGACCTACCAGGCCAACTCACCTTTGAAGGCAAGTCACATCAAACTTGCAAAAGTATTCCTTAAGAGCTCGAATGCGCAAGAGAAAGTGATGGAGATAATCGTGGGTCCCTTTATATGAAAATTTATAGGAGTGCCCCATTCAAATTTCTAGACAACGGTGATGGGATATTCATTCATGATGAATCTTTAGACTAGCATTGGGAAGACATTTAATTGGTTTTAAACCATTGAAGTTTTCATGCAAAGACAAACCCCCTCACTCATACACACAAAGTAGACATGATGACAATTTTTTCTAGTCAATCAACATCGTTGTTTCGGTTTAACTACGGTTCCCTAGTCTTTTCTTGATTTAAGAAATGAATGGGAATGAGAATGAAAAACAAGAGATGATGTTTCTGGAATACTGACAAATTTCTGTATCAACTTGGGAAAAGAAAAATCACAAAAAAAATGATCATACAAGCATAATTTACGGTTAATGATTGTTGTGCAAATTGAAAAAAAAAAAAAAAAAAAAAAAAAAAAAANAAAAAAAAAAAAAAAAAAAAAAAAAAAAAAAAAAAAAAGAACAATGAGATCGACACCCAAGAATTTAAGTGGTTCGACAATGTACGAACATCCAAAAATGATTTAAACTTGTAATGGGGTGGTTTAGCTCGGAGAACTTTGCTATACATTTGAAAGGTTTGATGGAGGCCTTTGGTGAACCAACACTTGTTGACGGGTAACAATTGGCTCAGCTGCATGCTATGGGATAAAACTTTGAACCCTGAAGAATGTTTTGAAGAAATTTTCTTTAGTCTTTCGGGGAAACAACCCGGTGGGACATAAAGCTCGCTATGGAGTTCAAAGCTTTAGAAAGGAGGATTGTCTCCTTGATTTTAACTCCATGTTGTGCCGGCTGCTAGTTATTAGAATTGGAGTTTCACAAACATACAGTAACACAGCTATGATCTGTTGTGCAGCAGCAATGTTGAGGAGTGCTTCAGACCGGTGGGTTATTTTTTGCTCTCTGAATTTGATTGAATTGAGTAGTTAGTGACTCGACTGTTGCTCTTGGCAAATTAGAAGTGTCTCATTATCCCTTTCCATTAATTTGTAGGTGAAGAAGTCCATAAATTTTTGTTTCTTGCCACGAGATGCAATAAGATACTTTGATCGAGTCAACTATGCGGGAATTGGATTAATAATATCAATTTTTCTTGCAGTTGCATCACTCTGTGATTTGCCTTGACTGATCTAAAACTCATAATTTAACACTGAGGTTGAGTTTTACAAGTCGAGTTTATAGTATGTTCTATCTATAGTTAGCATCAAGTTAAATTTTATTCACAGTAGATTTGAAATTGATCATACGAATCGTTCTACAACTCCATTCTATTCACCACCACGTGGGCTGAAAATCTATGTATCTTGTACAACTCTACTATGTCATGTGAATTGTCCTTTTTTCTCTTTTATAATGGTGTTCAAGTGAAATCACCTTAATCTTGTTCATTGATTCTCTTTGTAGATAGAGTCTATTGGATATTGAACATGAAAATGACCTAATTTGAAGCATGGGGACCAAGGACGACATGCATCAAAGTTTGGGGAACCATATGCAATTTTGCCTTTTTTAACATTAAAATGGAGTTAATTGTCCCAATGGTCACTAAACTTATATTTGTGTGTTCGATTGCTCACTGAAGTTTGCCATGTCTAGTTTTAGCCACTAAATTTATTCAAACGTTGAACGTTATTCACTAATATAACATCGGTTTCAAACCTTTATTGAAATTTGTAACGTGGCTAATGGAATGCATACGTGGTGCCTCGTCAAGCCGTTAATAAATTGCTATATTTTCGATTCTCACTAAACTTTGAAAAAGTATTTAATTGCTCATTAAATTTTGAAAAACATTTTCGATTGTTTACTGAATTTTGAAGTGGTCGAATTTTGGCCACTAAACTTATAAAAATGACGTCGACCTATTGTTTGTTAAAAAATGTGTACCGCAAGAGCAATGGTCGAGGAAAAATAATAAAGTGAACAAACGAGTTCAGGTTGTCGATTCCACGAGGAATGATTGTTCAATTACATAATAGTTAAATTTTATGTTAGCATATTTTTTTTAGAATTTTACGCTATTTCCATCATTTGAAAAATATAAATTATTGTGCGTTTCTTTGTTAAAACTAAATTAAAATAAAATTTGAATTTTGCAACAAAAAACATAATAAATTTAATAAAAATTTGGATTTTTGTAATGAAACACACAATAAATTTAAATTTAACAAGACTAAGAACCTAGATTCATTTGTCCGTTTTATTATTTTTATGCAATTCGTGTCCTTGCGGTACATATTTTTTAAACGAACAACACGTTGATGTCATTTTTATAAGTTTATTGGCCAAAATTCGATTACTTCAAAGTTCAATGAACAATCGAAGACGTTTTTGAAAGTTCAATAAGCAATCGAAGACCGTTTTAGAGCTTCTCCAATAGACTCTTTATTTTTTAAAGAGCATATTCTATCATTTGGAGAGTATCTATAAATTTAGAGAGTTAAAATTTTCAGGTACTCCAACAAACTCTTTATATTTAACAATTAATTTTACCACTCCAAAAAAATATTTATTATTTTTTATTTTAACTACCTTTTCTTTAGATTATTTTATTGTTTTTCTACTTTGAAAATTGAAACACTTTGAATATATTTAATTATAGAGTGTGAGTTTGAGTTTTCAAATTTAGAGAGTCAAACCACTCTCTAAATTAAAATGTTAATTTAAAGGATCCCTTGGATCATTGTTTTGAATGTTGACTCTTTAAAATAAAAACATGTAATATTTAAAAAGTCTTTTGGAGATGCTTTTAAAGTTTAGTGAGCAATTGAACATATAGTCATTTATTAATAGCGTGACGAGGTGTCACGTGTGCATTTCGTTAGCTACGTCACTGATTCCGTTAAAGATTTGAAACAGATGTTATGTTAATGAGTAACGTTTAATGTTTGGATAAATTTAGGCCCTGTTTGG